GTGGAGAGGCAGCCTGTCCCATCCTCGTCGGCACTTGCTGTTTTTGTGCTCTTGGTGAGGGCCATCCTGGTGGGACTGGGTGAAATGGAATCGGAGGCTTGTTTTGTACATCCTTAATGGTTAAATGAAAAATGACATTTTTATAAACGTACTTGGCCACGTGGGCTTCTTTTGAGAAGAATCTATTCAAATCACTTACCCACTTATTGACTGGGGAGTGTGTGTGTGCTTGATGAATTCTGCATTAATGTTCTGAGAGTAGTTGGCAAAGATTTCCCCTACTCTTAGAGCATCTCTTCACTGTGCCAGCCGTTTCTCCTGCTGTGTAGAAGCTTCGTAATTAGATGTGGTCCTTCCTGTTGATTCTTGTTATTATCTCTGTGCTGTTAGAATCCTTTCTTTCTTTCTTTTTTTTGGTACCAGGGATCGAACTCATGACCTTGGGCCTGCCAGGCAGACGCTTATGCCACTGAGCTAAATCCCTGACTGTTAAATTTCTTTTCAGGAAATCTTTCCTGGTGTCTGTGGCTTCAGGTGTTTCCCCTGAGTTTTCTTTTAGCAGCTTCAAAGTTTCTTTCTTTTTTTTTTTTTTTTTTTGTCTTTTTCATTTTTTATCGGTACCAGGGATTGAACTCACGACTGCCTGCTTGAAGGCAGGCGCTTATGCCGCTGAGCTAAATCCCCAGCCCCTCTTCAAAGTTTCAAGGCTTATATTATTCCTAGATCTTTGATTCATTCTGAATTGATTTTTTATCTGAATTGATTTTTATGCAGGATAAGAGATAGGGATTTAGTTTAAATCTTCTACATGCGCCTATCCAGTTTTCCCAGCACTATTTTTGTAAGGTCCCTCCCGCCTTTTTTTATTTTCTTCACAGCCAAGGGTTTATTTACTTTACAAAAAAATAATAAAAATTTTTAAAACTTTTTATTGCATTGGAAATTGAACCCAAGGCCTTTCCACTGAAGTGCATCGCCAGCCCTTTATTTTATTTTATTTTACTTTAATTTTTTAATGTTTTTTAACACCAACTACATTTTATTAGACCAGAAGAAAGTTATGAATTATCCTCATATCTTTCCTTAAGAAATTAGAAATAAAAGACAAAACCAAAAACAAATAGAAGAAAATAGTAAAGATCAGAAAACACAATCCCTTATCAGAATGCCAATATCATTTTTCATGAAGATTAACATTTTGATTCTTAACATTTCTGTAGAAATACAAAAGACTTACAACAGTCTAAACAACTTTGATAAAGGAACAAAATTAGAGCTCCAACCCTCCCTATTCCCAAGACTTAGCACAAAGTTACACCAATCATGATGAAACAGCATTGATATCAAGATAGAAAATCACCAAAGTACCAATATGAAGTCCCAAAATAGATACCCACATAACAGACAATTGATTTCTGGCAAAGATGCAAAAGCAGTTAAGTGGAGGAAGGATTATACCTTAAGTAAATATACTGGACAACTGGCTCTCGACATGCAAAAAACACAGACCTCACAGCACGTCAGAAATTTCTTAAGACATCCACAAGTCAGCTCAAAATGGCTCACAGTGGGTTACTTAAAGTGAAGACAGGTGTGACCTGAGCTGTTGCTTTGGCTGAGGTCAGTCTCCCTGGAACAAAAAAGACTGGGACATCATGTCGAAGGGAAGGCAGAACCTGTAGAGGTGTTCAGTGAAGGGAGGCATTGAGTTTACGTCTGAGCAGCCCTGTGGATGGCAAAGGAGGCCATTATGCGCTTTTTTTCTATCTTAACTTTTTTATATACATATGCATACACATATAATTGTTTTTTCTTTCAGCTTGTCATACTAATGAAGCCATACAAGGTTAACACACACATGTCTTATTTATTTCTCTAATAAATATGTTCTCAAGGCACATTCATTTACCTGTAAAGTATCTAGTTTTAATCATTCTTTATGGCTGAGTGGTATCCCATTGTATAGATATACCACATCTTTTTTATCCATTCTGAAGTCAATGGGTATTTAGGTTGTTTCCAAGATCTGGCTATTATAAACTATGCTGCTGTGAACATGGGTGCACATATGTCACTGTGGTATAATGCTTTTAATTCTTTTAGGAAGATACCCAGAAGGGGAATAGCTGGGTCGAACTGGACCTCCCATCCTAGTTTTTTGAGAAATCTCCACACTGATATCTACAGTGGTTGTACCAGTTGCATTCCCACCAGCAGTGGAGAAGGGCTCCTTTTTCCCCACAGCCTCTCCAGCATTTGTTATTGGTTGATTTTCTTGATAGTAGCCATTCTTTTTGAGGTGAGGTGAAATCTCAATGTTTTAATTTGCATCTCTCGAATGACTGATGCTTTTGAACATTTTTTCACGTATTTATTTGCAGTTTGTACTTCATCTGAAAAGTGTGTTCATTTCAGATGCCCATTTTTGGGTTGAGTCTTTAAATCTAGGAGAATTGATTTTTTTTTTTTTTTTTTTTTTTTTTTTAGTTCTTTATATGTTTTCAATAGTAATCCTTTACCTGAGGAACAGCTGGCAAACATTTTCTTCCACATTGTGAGTTGTCTCTTCACTCTGTTGGTGGTTTCTCTTGCTGTACAAAAACTTTTCAGTAAGATGAGATCCCATCATTGATTCTGTGTGATAAGTCCTGTGCAATTTGGATTTTATTCAAAGCCTTTGCCTACTCCAACGTCTTCAAGAGCTTCACCTACTCTATCTTCCAGCAGATTTAATGTTTCTGTTTTTTTGTTTTGGTTTTTTGTTGTTTTTTTTTTTTTTTTTTTTTTTTTGAGACAGGGTCTTGCTATGCAGTTCAGGCTGGCCTTGAGCTAACTTTGTAGCCTAGGCTGGTCTCAAACTCGCAACGATCCTCCTGCCTCAGCCTCCCGAGTGTTGGGATTACAGGTGTAAATTCTGTTTTAATATTAAGATCGTTAATCCATTCTGATTTTAGCTTAGTACATTGTGAAAGATAATGAGTCCAGTTTTAATCTTCAGCATGTGTAGAGCCAGTTTTTCTGACACCATTTATTAAGGAAGCTATCTTTCGGGGCTGGGGATTTAGGTCAGCGGCATAAACACCTGCTTTTAAAAAAAAAGCTATCTTTCTTCCAATGAATTGTGTTTGGCACATTTGTCAAAGATAAGGTAACTTAGTACAGCTACAGTTGTTTCTGCATCTTCGAATCTGTTCCATTAATCTTCAGGTCTGTTTTTTGTTTGTTTGTTTGCCAGTACCACATTATTTTGGGTTTTTTTGTGAGTGTGTGTTTGGGGTTTTTTTTTAACCACACTTTTTAACACAGTAGATTTATAGTATAATTTCTTTTTTTTCTTTTTTCTTTTTTTTTTTTTTTTTCCTTTTTATTGGTACCAGGGATCGAACTGATTCCAGGAGAATTTTAGGATTGTTTTCTATAGTTGTGTAAGATATGCTATTGGAATTTTGATTGGGATTACACTGAACCTGTATAATAATTTTGGAAGTATGGTTATTTTCACTATATTGGTTCTTCCTAACCAAGACCACAAGATATCTTTCCATTTTCTAATAGCCTCTTATCTCCTCAATCTCCTTTTTCAGAGTCCTAGTTTTCAATGTAGAGGTCTTTTACAACTTCATTAGATTGACTCCTAGGTATTTTTTTTTTTTTTTTTTTTTTGGATACTATTGTAAAAGATATTGTTTCCCTGGTTTCTCTCTCAGTGAGTTTGAAAAACCATTTTTAAAAAGGCTGTCTTTTCAATTTCTTTCTTTTGGGGGGAGTCTTTTGTCAGTAATGAGGTGGCTGCAGTTGTGTACGTGTAGTCCTGTGTCCACTAACCCATTGTCCATCTTTTGGACCATTGCCGTGCTGATTTTGTTAATACAGCTTTGTAGTGTAATTCAAAACTGGGTATTGTTCTTTCTGTGTTCTGGTTTTTGAGAAAGGATTTTGCCATGTAGTGCAGACTGGCTTTTTATAGCCCAGGCTGGCCTCAGACTCACAGCGATCCTCATGCCTCAGCCTTCCAGGTGCCAGGATTATATGTTATCGGGATTTTGATGTGGATTGCGCTGACTCTGTGACTTGGTGGTATGACCATTTTAACAACCTTTATTCTGCTACTCCATGAACATGGGAAATCTTTGCATCTTCTCATCCTTTCTTCAGTTTCTTTCTTTAGATTTCTGTAAATGTCATGGCTACCATCCTCACTATGGCTAAGTTGATTCTTGATTTTTTTTTTTTTTTTTAGACTGTTGTGCATGGAACTGTACTCCTGATTTTTTTGTTGTTGTTGTTGTTGTCTTTTTCCTTCTTATCAGTACCGGGGATCGAACTCACGACTGCCTGCTTGCAGGGCAGGCGCTTATGCCGCTGAGCTAAATCTCCAGCCCCCTGTACTCCTGATTTTTCTCTCAGTCACCCACTTGTCCAGCTCTGTCTTGAGCTTCCCCAGAGGCCATGTACACACTGACATACACTTAGGGTGCCTCTCTGGTTCTTGTCCCAGGCAGGGACCCAATTTGCATTGCACTTATCACTTTGAGTCTAAATATTGCTTATGGGAAAGGGACACAGCAAGATCTGTAGTGGGACTGTTTTCATACTGAGGCACTGTCCCTGCCATCCACGCCAGCCTGAGCTCCTGCTATGCCCCTACCACCCAGAGGTCAGCTAGGCCCTTGGGCCAGCTTAGGGCTGTGCAGGTCCTGACAGAGGGGCTCACCTCTGCACAGGGGCTTCTGGGCACAGAGTTTGCAGGAGGGGTTCTGAAGCCACAGACCCCACCCAGCCAGACCACTCAGAAGCTCCTATTGTGGGCTCTCTGCCTGCCACACAGCCAGCCTAGGGAACTGGCTAGGCCCACCGAGCCTGTCCCACAGGCGGCTCCTGTGGACAGGACACTGCATCTGGGCAGGGAAGCGGATTTGTGAGGAAGTGGGCAGGAGCAGTGCTCAGCTGGGACCTCAAGCTTCAGGGTGCGGGTTCACCCTTGTGTTCTTTTACTCTAGGAAGATGACGAGAAGCTGATTGAGGAAATCCAGAAGGAGGCCGAGGAGGAGCAGAAGAGGAAGAATGGAGGCAAGTGCTGTCCCCTCCACAGCCGATGGCCTGCGCAGGCCAGAGCAGAGGACCTGGGGCTGGGGTGGGCCCTTAGATCGCCATTCAGCCAGGGAGGCTGTTGAGGCCTGGTACAGTTTGGGCACCATGTGAGGTGGGGGGATCATGAGGATGGGTTTGAGCTCAGGAAGCAAATGAAAGCCAAACCTGACGAGATGGGACCCACCAGCCCTGTGCTGAGGTGGAAGAGGATGAGCTAGTGCCTCTGAAAGTGGTCCCCTCAGGCTCTGGCTAAGAGACTCACGTGGAAATCAGCATATGAACTGGATAGGTGTGCCAGCCTCTGGGGGCCATCATGGAGTGTGGCAGTCTGTGCTTTGCTTTTTTCCTTCCTTTTTTTTTGGAAGACAGGGTTACACTATGCAGTTCAGGCTGACCTTGAACTCACTTTGAGCCCCAGGCTGGCCTTGCTCTCACAGAATCCTCCTGCCTCAGCCTTCTGAGTACTGGAATTACAGGCATGCACCACCATGCCCAGCTGTGCCTTGCTTCTTACAGTGACATTTGGGTGGGGGTGTTTCTCGTTGACACATCAGTCACTACTGTAGTGCCCATCCAGAGCCCTGAGGTCCAAGGCTGAGTCTGGCCAGCATGTGTGGGCCTGTCCCCCACCCCATCCTCAGTACTCAACTAAATCATGCCCTCCTTGCAGAGAACACCTTCAAGCGCATTGGGCCCCCACTGGAGAAAGCCCCCGAGAAGGTGCAGAGGATGGAAAGTCTGCCCCGGCCCATCCCGCAGAACCTGCCGCCACCACAGATGCCACCCTACGCCTTTGTGCACCCGCCCTTTCCCCTGCCTCCCGTGCGGCCTGTGTTCAACAACTTCGCGCTCAACATGGGCCCCGTGCCTGCGCCCTACGTGCCCCCTCTCCCCAACATGCGCATCAACTACGACTTCAGAGCTGTGCATGTGCCTCTGGAGCACAACCTGCCCATGCACTTCGGCCCCCAGCCGCGGCACCGCTTCTGACAGCTGGTGCCCTGGGATCAAAGGGTAAAGACCCCCACGTAGACCCAGCTCTGTGCTGAACTTGGCAGCTTGGGGGTGGGGATCCTTCCACACGGTCCCAGAAGGGGCCACTGCTCCTCTGAGGCTGGTGGCTTTTAGGAGGCGGTCTGACTCTCACTGGGCTGACATAAGGGCAACAAAACACTCTTCACTGGTTCTGCCACCTTGGCAGCCAGCAGTAGCCCTGGCCATGCAGAGGCCCTATGTCTGCTGTCTCCAGCCCCTGCAAAAAAGGCAGAGGAAGTCATCTGGCCCATCCCCCCAGACAGCAGAACCACAGGCCTGTCCACAGCACAGCAAGGTCCCTGTGGAGACAATGCAGCAAATAGCAGTTTGCAGGGAGCTGGAGATCTGAACAGGGAGTACGGCGGGAGCTGCCCTGGTACTCCCACTGTGCACGCGCAGCCTCAGGTCAGGGGTCCGGTGCGCTACTATTTCTCATTCATCTTCTCCCAGAGCTGAGCTCTAGGTGCTGGGCAGCTGTGGGCATTTCTCTTGAGCCCAGAGTCCGCACCTAAGGGCTTCCTCACCTAGCAGGTGAGGGGTGGCAGAGCCATGTGCACGGACGGACCTAGGGCGCGTGGGGCAGGGTGCAGTGCTTGGCCCTCAGAAGCCCAGACCCCACTGCCACTGTGGCGCCCACTCAGGTGAGACAGCGCAGAGAACCAGTCTGTTGTTCAGGTTTTATTGGGTTTGAGGGAGAAGGCGTTTTTGGTTTTTTGAGACAGGGTCTCACTATGTAGTGCAGGCTGGCCTTCAACTATGTAGCGCAGGCTGGCCTCAGACGCTTCTCCTGCCTCAGCCTCCCGAGTGCTGGGATTATAGCACCTGGCTTGTTTAATTGTTGATCTGAAGTTTTTCCTCCTGTTCACACACTTTGAGCTTTAGCCTGTGAGAGCTTCTTCCCTCATCTCTGCAGGGTTATGTGAAGGTGTCACCCACACAAGGCAGCAGCTGAGGGCTGGACGACCCAGACACTGAGACCAAATGAGAGATCTACTCTGGCGGCCACATGGGCCTCCCCCACAGCAGCGGACCACGGCTGTTGCTTCCCTGCCTCCTGTGTGCTCCCCCATAGTTAGCGGTGGAGACGGAGGCCAGGTCCTGACAGGGGTGAGTGCAGCTGTGCCTCCTGAGGCTGGAGGAGTCAGTCCTGGGCCTGCATGGAGGGCCCTGCTGTGGGCCAGCGCCTGTGGCTGCTGCCCAGAGCGGTCCTCGCCCCTGGGAAGCTTGGCTTCAGCTGCTCAGTGGACAGCGAACATGCCTGGTACTTTTTTTTATCGCACAGTGAACATCCTAGTCCTTGTCCTCTGGCCGTGGGGTTCTGGGAGATGCCCAGGGTGGGTGGCATCTACACTTGTTTCTTGGATGTGTGTCAGACTATAGGATAAAGACCCAGACGTGTTCCTCCTGCCTCGGCTCAGGGTGAAGGCTTTGAGGCAGGCAGGTACCCTCCGCAGCGCTGCGCTCAAGGCCAGAATGACAGTGCCTTGGAAAGGTGGGCTGCACCCCGAGTGACAGGACCCTCCAAGTACCCTCAATGCAAACCGTGTTCTCCACTTTTCCCCTGGGAGAGAGAGGGCAGTAGTCAGCCCTGCAGGTGGGGAGGTAACCCCAAGCGCCAGTAGCCACCCTGCTGGGCTGGGGTCCCAGCTCTGCCCTGTTCCCCTCAGGTGGCTCTGTCCAGGGCTGAGGCAGGATCCTTGGGCCGGGGTTAACAGTGACGTTCCTTCCAGCTGAGGCCATGCCCATGGAGATGTCTCTCCAGATGACCACCCCGGCTCCTCTCTCCTCCCCCTCCAAAGGCACCTGGCCCCGCACTGTAGCCTGTGGCTGCAAGCCGGCAGGAGCCTGCTGTCCCTCCTGGTACCTTAATGTCCCGGCAGTGCTAGGAGATGCCTGCACTGGAGCCCAGTAAAACCCGGGAGCACCATTGCAGCTGGCGCCTAACCTCTGGTCTGGGGCCAGAGGCTGCCCAGCCACTGCCCCAATTTATTTGCCTTAAAACTGGAGAAGAATCTAGTATTTGCACTTAGCAAAAGATTTAAATCTGAAGGAAAGTATGCATGACCTGTCACTTTGTATTAAAACAGCAAAAAATAAAAAGGGTTAAGTAGTTTATTAAATGTTTTTCCTTTTGGTAGTAAAAATAAAGTAACTGTTTAAACTGCTGTGTGTAAAAAGCCTGTATCATATGTAACTTGAACTTTTGTAAATAAATATTTGTGCATTCAGCTTCCTGGATTCCTTTCTCCACACACACGGAATCATGCAGGTCCCCAGGAATGGCTGGGTCTCCCGGAGGAAGGACAAGGGACCTCCCAGGCGGAGCAGCAGGGGTGAGTCTCCCTCCTGTCCTGCCACAGAGCTCGGAGCCCCCGAGGCACTGCTACTCCAAAAGGTTTCCGGTCCAGTCTGCCAGAGTCCCCACCCTCCCTGGCAGCCCAGCTTCTGCCCCAGAGCCTGGGGCCGTCTGCACTGCCAGCACCTCTGGCTACAGTCAGGCCAAGCAGGCCCTAGCCCTGAGACCTGTTGGGGGAAGCTGGGACCCCAAACACAGCTACACAGCACGGATCAAACTCACTACCTTGTGCTTTCCAGGCAGCCACTTACGCTGGCTGAGCTAAATCCCCAGCCATTGGGCCCTTTTTTTAAACTTATTTTGAGGCTTTGAAACAGTTTCAAACTCACAGCTATCCTCCTGCCTCAGCCTCATGAATGCTGGAATCACAGTGTGCACCACCATGCCCAGCTATGCCATGCCGATGGTGCATCTGATGGAAAATGCGCAACAGAAGTTTCAAGACACCCATTCCTAGCATCTGTACAGACCAAGGCACACACTTGGTTGATTTGGGGGGCACTCACTGTGTAATGCTGGCTGCCCTTGACTTCAGTATGTGGCCCAGGCTAAGGAACTCACAGCAGTCCTCCTGCGCACCGTCCCCAGTGCTGGGGTTACAGGCGTGCGCCCCCACTCGTTGCTCCTGCTCCTTGCATTTGTTCTGCTAGTCCCCTGCTCCTCCCCTTCTGGGGTGCTCAGTGTGGCCTTGCCCGAGGCTGCTCATCTCCCTATGGGGGAGGCCTTGGTGCTACCTGAAAGCCTTCAGGCCCTTCATGTGACGGGTGGTGCTGGAATGTCTCAGATGGTACGTCCCCGGAGGTGGGGCAGAGTCGGTATGTGCTATGTGCCAGGTGTTGGTGGCGCTGCCTGCCAGTACCATCTTAGTGGGAGCCCAGTCGCTGCACAGCGATCTGCGAAGTCTGGGTGTGCTGAGCCCACCGCGCCCAGCCTCATCCAAGCTGCGCCGTGTCTGCTCTGCTCCTGTGACATCCACTCTTGGCACGCGTCTTCGTCAGGAGCCCCTATGGCTTCTGTTGTGATGCTGTCCCCGCAGAGCAGAGCCACTCTGACCTACCTTCCCCACCCGCCCCCGCTCACACAGGCTGAGGCTGCTGTGTGCACCGCTGCTGCCCCTGGGTCCCTCTGTGCCTTGTCCTGGGTCAGCGTTTAGCACCCCCTGGCCTCCTTGGCCCAGGACTAATGGCAGAAAGGAGCTCAGGGCGAGCATGGGCTTTGGGTCAAGTTCTCCCCCACCTGCCTGGCCGCTCTACCCATCAGTAAGTGCAGGTGACCTAGGCTGTCCTGCAAGTCCCTGGCTTGGAGTCCCCACTCAGCCTCCAGGGAGCCATGTGGCCTTGGTTGAGGCCCTCAGGTGTGTCACCAGTCAGTGAAGTGTGACAGGACAACACCCTCTCGTAGGACAGTGAGCACTGGCGCCTGCAGACCGGACAAGCACAGGCGAACACAGCGCCTGTGGGCTGTACCAAGTCAGGGGTCTCTGCCTCCTGGGCTGCCCTGGAATTTTTTTCTTTTTTCTTTTTTCTCTTTTTGTCCCTCTGGAGCACAGTCCCTCAGTCAGCACAAATAGCACAGTGGGTGATAAGGGTCCAAAAAAGCCCATAGGGAACCCCATGTGGTTGCACACACCTGTAATTCCAGGCACTCTAGGAGACTGAGGCAGAGGAATCACAAGTTGAACCCTGCCTGAACAATTTAGTAATTTCATGAAACTATATATAAAGGCTAAAAAAGAGCTGAGGATGTAACTCAGTGCAAAACGCCTGGGTTCAGTCCCCAACAGGAAGGCAGAGTATTAAACCATAGACTGTGAGGCTGGATGTGGTGGGACATGCTTGTAAAATCCCAGCACTTGGGAAGCTGAGACAGGAGGATCACTGCAAGTCTCAGGCCAGCCTGGGCTACAGAGTCGGTTCAAGGTCAATGAAACTCTTTCTCAAAAAGACAAAAAAAAAGCAGATTGTGAGTAAAGACAGTCTGACCTACAGGAAACCACACAAACATCAGCCTAGCTGTTTATAGAATCAGAATGTATGGGCGACACTGCTTTCCACCTGTGGTGTGGCTAACAAGGCATCTGGTCAACCACCGATAAGATGCTGGGTGAGCTGACAGAGGCTGCAGAAGGGTCCCTCGTGCTGACTACGGTGACAGCTCAGCTTTATCCGCCACAGTCCTGAAAAGGAAACACTTAGTGCTGTGTACACAGAGAAGCCAGGCCTGCCTTCGCGCTCTTCACCTGTTAGAAGGAAAGCAGGGTGACGCCATGCCACAGCAGGAACAACTCTTGAAAACCAAGCCCCGTGCCCAGTGCATGAAACCAGAAACATTTGATGCCATTTGTAAGAATCGGCAAAATTGTACAGACAGCAGATTTGGGAGCCAGGCATGGTGGCGCATGCCTGTAATCCCAGCACTCAGAAAGCTGAGGCAGGAGGGTTGTCACAAGTTCAAGGTCAGCTTACGACACAAAGTAAGTTCAAAGCCAGCTTGAACTTCAGAGCAAAACCTTGTCTCAAAAAGACAAAAAAAAAAAAAAAAAAAAACAGATTTGGGGTTGTTTAAACCTAAAGCAGGAGTGGTGGGTGGGGTTGAGAACTAAAAGGTGTGGAATTCTGTCTCTTCTCTCTCCCTTTCAGTACTGAAAATGGACCCCATGGCCTCAATCATGCTAAGCAAGTGCTCTACCGCTGAGCTACACCCCAGGACTTTTTTTTTTTGTCTTTTTCGTTTTTATGGGTACCAGGGATCGAACTCACGACTGCCTGCTTGCAAGGCAGGCACTTATGCCGCTGAGCTAAATCCCCAGCCCCTCACCCCAGGACTTTTTAAATTTTGAGACAGGATTGAAGATTTAGCTCACCCACTCAAGCCCTCACCTAGTAAGCCAGTCAAAGTCTCACTAATTTTCCCAGGCTGGTCTCAAGCTCGCAATCCTCCTGCCTCAGCCTGTGGAATGGCTGCGTACAAGTGTACGCTGCCACACCCAGCCTTGTTTAACAGTTTTTTAAATAGGCTGAGAAGGACTGATTGCAAATTAGACAATGCCAAAGAAAAGATCACTGAACTTGAAGGCAGCAGTTTGGAACTATCTAAAACAGAGAATCAGAAGAAAAAAGGCTAGGAGGGGGCTGGGGATTTAGCTCAGAGGCATAAGCACCTGCCTTACAAGCAGGTGGTTGTGAGTTCGATCCTCGGTACCGATAAAAAAAAAAAAAACGGGGTGGGTGGGAAAGATAGCACACCCCTGCGATCCCAGCACCCTAGGACTCTGAGGCAGGAGGGTGGCAAGTTCAGACTCAGCCTAGAGAACTTAAACTCTGCCACAAAGTAAAAACCCAGGTGTGGTGGCCCCTGCCTTGTAATCCCAGCACTCGGGTCGCAGAGGCAGGAGGATTGCTGCGAGTTCGAGGCCAGCCTGAGTAGTGAGACCCTGTCTCAAAAAGCCAATAAATAAATATAATAAGTGCTGAGAATGTAGCTAGCTCAGTGTGAAGATCATGGGTTCAATCTCTAACACCACAAAAAATTAATAATAACAATAATAATGATATAAATAAATAGAGTGCATCCTGCATCTGTGGGACAGCAGCCCGCGGGAGGACCCCACAGGCAGGGCCAGAGCTGCGGGGACCCAGGCTGTTCCTGCAGCCTGGAGCCTGGGAGGATTCTGGTTTCCCACACCCTGACCCGCCAGCTGTGCTTTGGGAGGAGAGAAACTCAAGGGCAGAGAAAGGCTTCGAGACCCTAGGCCTCCCATGCCCAATGCCCACCTGGCCCCTCTGCTAACCCCCGGCAAGTCCTCTCTGCTGAGGCCTCAGTTTCCCCATGTATTCAAGGGGGAGTTGGTCCCTAGCAGCCCTAAGCAATTCCCAGGAGAGGAGCAGCCAACCTATGGGGAGTGGGGTGGCCAGGGCTCCCCACCTTCACTGGTCCCAGCAGCCACCAAAGAGGATGCAAACTGAGGTCACAAGGAAGCCCGTGCTGCAGCGAGGATGCCCGGGTTCCTGCGGTCTCCCCGACTTCGGGGCTGGAGCTGAGTGTGATCAGGCCTGGGCCTGGGCCTCCCTTCCTCCCTCCCAGTCTACTCCATGCTCCCTGGGTCAGTAGCACCAGGAAGCAGCCGGGAGGCGCCCGGAGGACCTGCCCAGGCCCTGGGATGATGACCCAGGCTGCACCGATGTTCCCAGGAGACCGCAGCACGCTGGCTGCTCCTGCCTCCCCCACCACCCCGCTGGGTGCAGGGCAGCCCTCCTCCCTCCTGACCTGCCCTCCATGCTCGGCTCCTGTCTGCATCGCTCCCTGCTCTGCCCTGTTGGGGCAGGCATCTCCTCTGGCAGTGCCCTGTGTCCCCTACCTGCCCCCAGGGACACCTCTGCCCTGTAGGCTCACTCTGCCCTGGAGCTGCCACCCACAGCTGCCCTGGCCACTGCTGACTCACACCGCCTACTCCCGCTCCCCCCATGAAGGCCTGCAGTCCTGCCCCATCCTTGTCCCCTGCCCACGCCTGGCAGCTCAGGGCACTGCAAGGGTCCCACCACCCAAAGCAACTGAGCACAGGGAGCATCTCCCATGTTCCTCCCCCAGTATTCAAGGCCTCAAGTCCAGCCAGCAGAACATTTGTCCCTCGGCTTTCAAAGCCCACACCCTTCCTCATAGGGGGAGCCCAAGGCAGGAGACAGGGCTGGGGATGTAGCTCAGTGGTACAGCACCTGCCTGGCAAGCACAAGGCCCTGGGTTTGATTCCTGGTACCCACAAAAAAAAAGAGGCAGGTGACAAGCAGAAACACTCACAACCCAGACCTACGAAGGGTCTGCAGGCGGTGGCCTTACGGTGACAGCAGTGGCAGAGCCCACTCCGCAGGCCCCTCT